CAGACAGAGTCAGAATACAACCTGATACTCTGTAGTTAGGGTGGTGGTAGCAGTCCAGATGAAACAGTGGTCTCGTAGAAAAGATCTGGTAGCTCTTGTCCTCTGGAAATCCAGTGGGTAAGGCCCCCTGTGCTGTACTGAACCCCAGTTTATATCCAGGTGGGAGCACTTGGCTCCTCCCCCTGGGTGGAGCATCTCACAATGGGTTGATATCAGTCTATGAGTCATGCAGTGGGTCCTTGATGGTCCATTAAACAGAAATAGCTCCTGGGGGGAGCTCTGTATGAGTCATGGGGCGAGGCATGGATGGGCCCATTAACAGGGAGGAGGACTCCTGCTGGGTGGGAAGGTGTTAACATCTCCCCTGACCTTGAACTTCTTTCCTTATCTGTTATAGCCTGGGGTGTGAGGTCTGTCCTGGGCAGCTGCTACCCATGATTTTCTTAACAGCCCATGAGCACTGACATAGAGAGTATAGAATATACAGTTTTGGTTCTAACCACATAAGGATAAACTGGTCCCAGCCCCTGTAACCATGACATATGATAATTCAGCTGCTGAGACTCTTCCTTACCAGGCCAAAGATCTGCTCTGTTACCTAATGATCTCTTCCGTAAAAGCCAGGAAGACTGCTTGCCAACACGTTGTCTTCCTGTAACATTTTTGTCACCGAGGTTTAGAATACCTTGTGTATTAAAGGATCATCCAGATGTAACAGCGTTAGGTGCAGGGCAGTAATGTCATGTAATAAGTGGCAGAAAATTACCATCCTCGGGTTTGGTCAATGCCTTCAGCAATGAAGTCAGCAGGGAAAGCATCTTCAAGTTCTTTTTTGTTTTCAAATGGATAATGGACTTGTGCATAAGGCATGCTTCCACTCTCAAACCAGCAGTCAAAGACTTCAGGGACACGGTGCAGCAAGCCCCTGCCACAGCGTGAAGGGATAGCTATGTGATCAATGCTATGGGGAAAAAAAAGAGTGACAAATGATAAACAAAAACCAAGAATTAGCACAAAAAGTTCATGTTACGCTTGCATATGAGGTACAATAGGAGTTTTTGGTTCAATTTTAGTGATTCTTCAAAAAGGTCAGCATTTCCCTTGAAAATTTTTTTAATTTAAAGTTATTTTAGAAGGGTTTTTTTTCTATTAACAATGTCTAACACAGGAAAAAGGTAAATTTATACACATTAATAAAGTTCTCTTACTACCTTTCTGTTTTCCCTAAATGTGTTTCCCAGGTTTGGGCAAAGAAAACCAGGGGTTTTTTTAAGTCTGCTCCACTATTTTTAATAACTAGTTAAGAGTCTCATGTGACCAACCTTTCTCTATGGAGATCAGTGACTTTTACTCCAGACAGCTCTTCTAATTCTGCTATAGAACCAACACAAACTACCTGTATGAAACATGCGAGAAATTTAGTTAGTTCTTTGCACATAGTAGTAATTTTTTTAACATTAGACGGGAGATTTATAGGCCAGTCAGCATCTTCTAGAGTAGCTACTATAGCTGAAAAGACAACCAAAAATTTGTAAGGTCCACTTCTTCAACCTAACAAAGCAGCAAACAATGTGAGAGACCACTGTCCTGACTGAATACGATTCACGTCAGCGTAACTGGAGACTGAAGAACCAGCATGTTGTCAGGTATGAAAAAAGGTGGGGTTCTGTTGTGTTGTAAGTTGTTTGAAAAACCCCAAACAATAACCTCGAAAATTCAATGACACTGACGAGTTTCAGATACCAGGTTCCTCTTCTGGAGCTACGGCAAGCACCTAAACTGTTCATAATCAAATATAAGTATTCCATCCCAGATACATGAAATGGTTCCTATTAAAAGGTATCTTATTTAAGGTGAAATAAGTGTGACATCTTACAAAGAGCATGTTAAGGAAGGTATAGACATTTCCTGGGTTTATTGCATCAGCACACACAGCGCTCAGAGCCCTGTGGCCCTCTCACCTAGCAGGATCTCTGAGCCACAAGCTGCAGTACAGGTCTGGATTTTGGAGAACCAGTCCCAGATGTTATCAGTCCAATTTCAAATTGCCATGAAAAAAAACCTCAATTTTGACGTATCTGACAGGGAAGGAGTTAAATGTGCCAACATCAACAAGCTGGAAGCAGGCTAGGCATTTTTCACACAAGGTAACTTTCTAAGTTGCTCTTAGGGTACAATCAGATAGAGCACTGCTCAATTCCTATAGCTAGTCTTAAATATATGCATATGTATACACACAGAAATTGGGACTAATGAAAAGCTTTTTGTGTATTTAATTCCAAAAACCTGCCATGAATTACAGAGAAGATAGAAACTCAGTCTGGTTTGTTTTTCTAATCATTATTTTCCTAGTCTGATTCAGCTGCTGATCTGCATTCCTAATCCTATCTTCTGTTGTTAAAAGTACTTTTAAAATGTAATTCTTATCTATTTTTCTATATGAAATGAAGCATTACAAGGATTATAATAGCCAGGTACAACAGTCCGCACTCTGCACAGCAAACCACACTGGGGGACTGATCCCAGTTAACAATACACCTTTATCAACAAACTCTTTTTAACCCAGGTCTGTTCTTCAGTCACTGTGTGGCCCCATAAGCAACTGTAGAAGCTGAAGTGAGCAGGCAGCAGGCGCTTCCTTCAGCACTCCTGGTGGAACAAAAGGTTATAATGGCAGCATGGGTAAAAAATACCCTTGGATACACTGATTGCTTTATCTTCTCTAACCTTAGTATTTGACCATGCTGTTACACTATGCTCTGGGTTAAAAGCTGTCCATTATTTGTTGGTTTTGGACCAAGCACTTCAATACTTAAGCAAAATTCTGCATATTGTACGTATTCTGCACCCAGTAGAACACATTCATAGAAGAAATAACTCCAAATCCATATGAAAAAGCCAACAGCCACCAGAGTGAAGTCAGCGGTCAACGTTAAATGCTTCCAAGGAAATTAACATTAGCATTGTATGCACAATTATTCATCTAAGTAGGAAGAATAAAGCCATCCAGGGGCATTCATGAACCTCAACGTTCCTGTGGCACAGTTCTGCAGTTCCCATTATATAAAAACATTTGCTGTTATGGGTTTCTCGTTTTGCATCTGTTAAGTACCTGTAATTGAAGACCAAGGAGTGTTCACAGAAAGAAAGAAGTCCACGTAGCATATCAGTATTACCAGCAAGATATTCTGCGTTCTTTTGAAAGCATCTTCTGAATAGTATTTAGTGAAAGAAATTACTGCTAAGGTCAGCCAGAAGTGCCATTCTTAAGGCAGCCTCAAAGCTGACCAGAAACATATCTAAGGAACTTCCCTCACCCTTCAGGAGAAGACAGTCAGAGTCCTCTCATTCCAAGTCTGTTATGCAAGACCAAGTGCACCAAAACCAGGAGGGTTAACAGTTTACATGAGCGACAAACACTGAAACAATCTGAGAATTTCCATAACATCGCTCAATATTTAATTCTATATAATTTGTATGCAAGTCCTATCAAATTAGCCCGTGTCCACTTTACCAACCTGGGTGCTATATGAAAAGACTTTATTATCTAATCTAAGTGACTTATGTTCTCACACTGAGGAAATCATTGAGATCTTAATTGTGAACTTGAAATGATAAACTATCTGCATAAAATATGGCAATAAACACAAGCTTCAAAATTTAACTTCCATTATGTGTCTCTCCCTGATAATTATGCTGAAATAAAACTAAAATAAAAGCTAGAGTAAAACTGTGGGAAACCAGATATTGATAGGTAATAAAATATGCTTTTTTAATACCAATTAATTCACCTTACTGTATATTAAGTAAGGAACTATTACTTCTCCAGGATTTAATATGCACAGCATAATTGCATGCGTTCTTCTGAGAACAAGGCATGAAGTGGAGGCCCTGCACTCTCACACAGGACTAGGCTGCAGCAGAACTGGTCAGGAAATTCTGAGTGAATATTATTCCTATATGAGAGCAGATGTCACACTGGCCTTAAGTTCCACATCAGTTCCAATGGTATTTAGTTTCTAAGCTGTATCCCACAAGCATAACAAAGGAATTAATATTAAAAAAGAAAACCCTAACTTGAAATTTGCCATGGTCCAGAAGCCGTAATTCAGCTACTAAAGCACAACATTCACGGTCTAGAGTAAACAGAAATGTATAAAATCTATGAATAAAAACAGATCTGTTGGTATCATTATTCAGAATGGTAAGCCCAGAGTAATATTTGCAGCTAATTCCAAAGCAAAGGTCAGTCTTCCAAGCTAGACATCATATTGTTATTAAAAACAAACAAAATCTAAAAAAGCAAAAACAATCTTTACACGCAGGAGTATAGACATGGGGAGACTAGACAAAAAAAATGCAATTATTAGAGGCAAGGAGTGACAGCAATGTAACCTTTACACAATCTTTTTCAGCTGTAGAATGAAGGCTCAAAATACTTTAACCAAAAAAACCTGTTACACTAAAGGTATTGACAAATTTAGTGTGAAGACTGACAGTTTATACCTAAAAATTTTGAATAAATGTTAAAAATTAACTGTTATACTAGAGACAGAAGCACTTGGTTTGCCGGTTGTTACACGCTCAGAGCATATAGAATTCAAACGCCAAAGCTTTCTTAGATACTTAAATCTTAATTGCAAGGGCTAACTCCTTCCCTCCCCCAGTATCACCCTGCTTATCAGCAAGATTTCTAATGAAGAAGAAATCAAAAAATGCACATATGAGCAATAGTGCCATTTAATACAACAAAATAGTCTTCTGGCATATATTTTCCTGTCTGAGGTCTTCCACATCGAAAATGACAAGTAAAACTCTATCAAATCATGGGAGATAAAAATAAAGGCTTGGGATGCTGCCATCACTAGTTACCTTCCGTGGGCAGCCTGACATTGATTAGCATTTTCCATTTCCAGCATGAGGAAGACTTATATGCAAAATGAAACTAAACTTTCTTCTTTTGTGTGGGTATCTTCAGAAGCAGTTTTAAAACTTGGTGTTTTGACACTTAGAAAACAGTAGTCATTAAAACCATGTCAAGTATTCACTTGTGCAGTTAGCTTTATGCTACCAGCTGCAGGGTACCTTACAACTTCTACAAACTCATTTCCAGCATTCCCATTATACACTTTCATCATTCCACTAGATTCACATTTTTACAGTTTGTTACATTCACATTTATAGCACTAAAAATATATATTTTTACTGTTCTACTATGGTGGACTTGCTTTTATGCCTGCAGCAATTCTTTTGGCTTGAAGTAACTGAGCATCAGAATTTCACAAACAGACTGAAAGGACTCAGTAACAAATCTCTTGTTGTTTTCTCACTGAATTTGTTACTGCCACTAGATTTACCATCTCTACAAATTCTTCGATGAAAGATAAGATTAATTTTAATTTTTTTTTTTTTAAATTAAAATTGCTTGTGGTTTTCAAGCAAAAGCAAAGAAAATGTGTATAGGCACACAAATGCATGCATACACATGTATATATCTATCACTTATTATACATAGACTGTTAAGACGCTAATAGAACTTTAGAGTGCAGCAGCCTGAAATATAACAGTCTATCAAAGTAAGCAAACAACATATATAGATTAAGCTTTTCTGTTAACAGAAAGCCTTTCTTTTCTTACCTCTTCAAGATCCTCACTGACCCACAAGGGGATGGGTGTTCCCCAGTACCGGTTTCTAGACACAGCCCAGTCTCGGGCGTCTTTAAGCCAATTCCCAAAACGTTTCTCCCTCACAAAATCTGGAACCCTGTTCCAAAAGTAAGAGAAGTATTCTTTTATCACTACATTTCACTTTCACAAGAAAGCTAATAACAATGCTTATATTTGATTTCAGCTACAACATGAGTTTATTTCAGCACACTAGGTGAACTGGAGCACATGAGTGTTACTGCACAATGCTGCTGTGCTTTATTTTACACACAGAAAAAAAAATACCAGTTACTGACTTTGGTGCTGAATGGAACTGCCAAGTTTCAAAAGCCTACAGTAACAGCATCAAAAGGCATTTTTGGTTTATGCACGGACATCCAGGTATCTGCACATTAATTTTAGACTTTGAGAATAAAGCTATCCCAGGTTGATACAGCCCACAAAAAATACCCCTTTTCACACTGTTTATCAACTTCACTTTTAATACTCCAATTAAAAAACCAACCCCCTCTCCAAACCACCACCACCACACCACCATATCCATGCTTGCTAAAAACTAATTTTGAGCACTAATGTGCTCTGAAGGATGTTAAAGACAAATTACATACAAAAGCATCTTGGAGTTCAAAGGTTAACATCAGAATTTGACGCCTAGCAAGTTTCCTGGATACGCTTAGATGGTCTCATGGTTTGATTAAGAACCAATTGTTTTCTCTTATGACTTAAAGAAATAATTAACTACTTATACAATGATTATATAGCAGGTCAGAAAAAGCAATAGGTTTTGAGGTCAACAAGATATTCCCTCTGTGCCTAAAGGTGCATTTTAAACTGAAACTCCGAGGAAGAATAACCTGAAGTCAGTGTCAGAGGGGCAGAGAAGCTGTGAATGAACAGCTGACAAGAATACAGATAACTCTAGAACTGAGCTATTGAGCAAACCATGGCAACTTTTTCTGGATTTGTTTTTCCAGTGTAACTAGAATGGCCCTTTACAAAGTCTTATCTAGACTTAAGAGACCCAGAGTTTCTAAAGTAAGGAGCAGCCAAGCTACAGAACACCAAAATTTCTTTTTTAACCTCTTGGTCCTCTATCAATTGTTTTGTTTTGGGGTTTTTTTGAAAGAATCATTTTTAACCACAGATCAACCCCAAGGTTAACAAAGATTAAAGAATCCTTTAGAGGAAAAATTAAAACAAATGGATTCACATGACACATTAAGTTAGTGTGAGGTTTATGAAACAAGTATGACCACCTCTCAAAAAATCTACAGATGAAAACAAAAGTTTTACAAGTTTTATAGTCTTACAAGTTTTACCCATGCCGATGCCATGTGGACATCTGAAGGCTTCTCAATGCCTTACACATAATATAAAAAAACCCAAACATTTTAAATCAACTCAGCGACAATGCTTCACATAACACCAGTATCTTCACTTTGAAATTTAGAAATGTATACAGGCTTTCACAGTTTGTTGAGAGTGGGACTCACTACTGTCAACTTTTTCTGGTGACCTTAAGAGACCCTCTCTCCAAACAAAGTGGAAACTGTACAAAGATCATTAGCATTTGCCTAACATTCCACTAATGTGGAAAACTTAGCTTTGCATCACTCCTAAACTAGTTTCCATTTTTCAGAAGTTGTTAGACACTGATTAGCTGAAATTATTAGTCCCATTTAACATAGCTAGAGGCTGAAACAATCCCCCAATGACATTCAAATGCCAAGAGTTTCAACTCTGCCTCCTCAAAACACGCATGAAAAATTCATTTTATCCCCAAAGTGGACGTTAACCACAAAAATGCATGTGCTGTGATCTCTCTCTCTCTCTGAAAGCACATAATTTACCTCTTCTGGTAAAACTGTCTGACCCTGTTGCCAGTTTTTAGTGGAATATAAAACACAAACCACTTCATCTATTGTGAACCACATCTGCAACAATGATTTATGGCTCTAGAGGTACAATACAGAAATAACACTGACACAGCCATCAAATAAAATAAGAGCAGCATGTATCTCAAACACATTTTGAGGCCATCACTCAAAGAGTTACTTAAAACAATTGGTTCTTCCCACCACATAGATGCTCCGCCCATAGATGCTCCCTGGATGGCAAACAGCATAGAGCCTCCAACTAGGAACAAGCTAGAGGAGATACCTGCAGCAGAGAGTAGCCCTGCCAGTCACACAGGGCTTCAGGACTGAAACCTGTTCCTTCTATTTGGTCTCACTAGATTTAGCTACCGGTATCTCAGCCTGACACATCTGACCTCCCTACATAACATTTAAAAACAAAACAAACCAAACAAACAAACAACAAAAAAAAAGGAAAAAAAAAAACAACCAACCCAACAGGAAAAAGCCAGAGATACCTTCTATTTAAATATTTCAGTAGGCTGAAAAGACAGAACAGAGTATTCTCAACAATGTTGTTTCTAATACCCGAATTATTTTTTTTTTTTTTTTTTTACTCTTCCACCTACACAAAGCAATAATTTCTTAAATTTGCAGAAAGATTTAGTTTTACACAACTAGGGAGAGAGGGCAGCCTGAGGCGTGCCACCCTCAGGTCAATTCTGCTGCCTTTGCTCCCATGCAGTAACCAAAGAAACTCAGCCTCCCCCTGAGACGATGCTTCACTGTGTTTATTGTCAGCCCAGGCTCCCTCACAATGCCCAGCTAATTCTTCCATCTGTATTCCCAAGCATATTGCAAACAGAATTGCGACTTTGATACCATGATAAAACCACGGATCACTACTGATGCTGGTCCTTAGCTTATAGGAAATGTTGCCTATGTAAAACACCACTTGCCTAATTCTAAAAGCTGACATACCCCCAAAAGTGAATGGCTGCACAATCTGCCAAACACTGACCTCCGTGCATCAAAACTGTCCCGACAGCAGGGATATTTAGAAGTTTTTAAAAGATGAATTTGCAGCTGGGTGTGCCAAGCAAGGTGCACAGTTGCTACACCCTGCTCAGAGCAGCCCATTGTGAATGGCACTGAACAGATTCAGATCTCAGAAAAGGTCAAGTGCCAGCACCAAGTAGTTCTACAAGGCTACACGTGAAATCAAAGCAGCAACTCCTCTCCTAACACAATCCTGTTGCAGCTCCTAAAACTGTGCTCTTAGAAACACTATTTCCCAACCAGCCTACTATTCGTGTTGGTTTTGACCTTCAAATTTCTCTGCAAAATGACATAGGCAGGATTTCATACTTCTTTCTGAAGCATTTAGCAAGGTTGTGACTGCTGTGTCAGCAGGTCAGGAAGCTCCTGATTCATGCCTGGAGGATCGTGGGGGATAATAGCTATTTCTAACTTCTTGGCACCCAGAACAGGGCACTAAAACTTCAGGATGCAGACATTTCAGCAGCTGAAAAGTTCACGGAACTGAACTTAAAGTAAAGAAATCAATACTCATTTGTCAAATAAATCAGAAAAATTTTTAATGAAAATTTCATTTCCTCCAAATTTGTATGTCCACTTTTGACTGCTTATTCCTATTTTTGAGACAGATTTAGGGTTTTGCTAAATTAACACATTGCTGAGTCCTCTGCACAGTTTGCTTCTACATCCTTTCTTGGTAGCTACTAATTTTCTTAGTGTCTAAAATAAAAATTCCATTTGACAAGCAAAAAAAAAAAAAAAAACCAAACAAAAAACCACCATGAAGAGCAAACCAAAATCCAGTCATCCAGTCCTTTAACCACTTTTATTAGCTTATCAGAACAGAAACCATGTTCTTTGCCTTCAAAGTCAAAGTCTACATACTACCTCTGTATGCAAGTCACACCAGCAAAGTGAGCATGGGCTTGAAAACAGTGACTTAATGACCACCTTCAAACCCAGAGCGTGAATGGGTGTGGGAACTCTAAGTTACTATGGCTGCTGACCCTGTGACTTCCCATCACCAATACATACTCAAGGAACAGCATCAATTAAAACTACTCTGCTTTTCTGTACATATATTTTAAATTATCTCTCTGGTGCTCAGAACACAATTTCAAATACAGAATTCAATTCATCATTCCACTTTCAAAGCTGAGATGTGCTCTGCGTGGCTCTGAGTTGGTTCACCCTGCTCAAGTCACAAAAAATCTGTCTCAAAGCAGCACTGTCCCTCTTCTCTGTAAACACAAACAGCATGGCTAAAATAAATACTGCCACAGCAGAAGCCTCACATGCTTTATCATCAATTTACCATTAAAAGCTGTTTCAGATGTTTGGTAAAGATACATTAATTCTTTCTCACTCCATCATTGTTCTCATCAGCTAATTTTATTCATGACATTCTTTGAAAAACCACAGCAGCTTTATGTATCGGGTAAGATTTACTTCATAATTACTAACTGAAGGAAGCTCTTAGCTTATGAATTATTTGAAAATAGTCCCCCAAGACTTAGGCTATGAAGTTGATAAACTAATCACTATCTTAAACAGCGTGAATAAGGAAATAAGCACTCAGCATCTGCTATGTTTGTTTCTGAGAAGATGGTCTCAGATCTGTCTTCTTTTTTGGTGAGACGGTAACTTTTTAAGGGACATCTGAAATCAGGAACCACTTTTCTGTCTGGAAAGGAGGAAGTCATTCTTCTGGAAGATAGTTGAATTGTACGAGCAAAACCAAAGCTGATTAAGCAGTTATCCCATGTCATTTAACTAAATATGTACAGAATCACTTCAATTCATAGCATAACAGCTGGTTTGGTGCATTGTTTGGGGTCTTTTAGAGGTGCAGAATCTGCTTTTCTTCTCAAATATTAACCAACGCCTAGAAGACAAAGTCTTAAATTCCATTATGCTAATTTACTCTAATAACAAGCCTCCTTCAACATGCCCTCAAATTGATTTTTAATGGTTTTTAATTCAAGGAGAAAATAAGCAACTATTCATGCCCTTTTGACACTTTAATTAGCGCCAATCTATATTGTGGACCTAATTAAACATTGGGGGAGGTGGGAGGGAGGAAAGGGAAAGGTCAACTGTTTGCAAAGCACGCAGAATTTCCACTGCAGCACACTGCTCCTCAAGCCACCAAACCTTATTAGAACCCTGCACAACCACACAACCCAAACTTGTGTGGGGTGCC